GTCTCTTTCCAATGCATCATAAAATGCACAACTAAAGGATAGTGGTTGGTTTGATTACGGAAAAGCACACAAAGCCTAGCGTGCTAACTGCCTAGGGATGCTTTCGTAGAGGATATTGACTCATATATATGTAGCATATGTCGGAAACTGTGAAAATGCTAAAGGAGCCAGCCCGGGGGTTGGAATCCAGCCCAGAACGAACTATCAGTGCTCAGCGAGTTTACCGCTCAGTTGCTGGCGGTTCAAGGATGAGAAAAAATCCCCGATATTTTTTTTTATTTCTCCTTTTTTCAACCAATAATTTTTCATTAAACTGGACCAACGTTGCCATAGGGCAGATGGGTTATTTATGACAATGATCCAGCTGTGAATCTGTATCCAACAGGTGAAACTTTGTCACTTTTGCGGTTCGTACAGGTTTATATTCCTGTACTAATCTTGAAGAACAACAACACAGCTTACAAACTAATTTCCACCCATTTCGAAACATCTGAATTCAGTCTTATTATTCTAGACATGTTTCTCCATATTCATTTAAATAATGCTGTTTGACTCTAAATTTGACAAGAGCACAGGAAAACACAGCTCAAATTAAAAGAATAGCAGAAAGGGTAAAAAATATATTAATTAAATAGAGTGACGCATTTCGAAATGCACTCATTCTTCTTGACGTTAGAATTCGAGAGTGAAATATTTCACAATATAAAAATATTGAGCGATATGCAAATTGAAAAGCAGTCTCTTTTGCTGGCTTTATGTTCTTTTTGAGATAAAAATGTTTTCAATCAATTATTTATTTCTTCTAACATCCGTTATATTAACAGCATATTTATTTCTTGTGGAAGGATCACTTTAGTTTCCCCTTTTCATCAGAATTTCTTAAATTTATTAAAGCAGGCGACGCACTATTATACTGTATTATCTTGTATTTTAAATACCTTAGTATTTAAAATACAAGATGGTCATAAAAAAGCTTCACCGATATATGAAATCCTAGCTGCCTTATTTGCTCAACCAGTCGAACTGAAATTTCGGGTGTAATCTTGTTTTTTGAAGGTGTACGCTCCAGATTACGGTGCTCTAGAACAGTGGTGCGCAAACTAGGGGTCGCCAGAAGTTTTTGGGGGGTCGCCAAATTTTTATGAAATGCATTATGCCTGCATGTTTTTGCATACAGTGTACATATAAAGAGTGAAGCGCCGTCACTCACTGTTTAATTGCAATTTCATGCTGTCCGCTCTTTCTTTGACCGTAATGCGTAATGTATGTAAAGTGTGAAGACGCAAGTTTTTCACTTCGGTAGATAGCGCCCTCTTCGCGGTACTTCGCCAGTTTTACTGAAAAGCGCCTATTTGACTAGACGTTAACCCATGGAGGTAGGAAGTAAGATGGAGTCGCCCTAAACAAGTTTCTCCGTACCCTGCTCTGAAGCACCGGCGATCCCTACGTGGTGACCAAAACATTGGGTCATTTACCATTGAGTTGTATGGGATTTGACGCGTTCGGGTGTAAATATTTTGTAATTACGTCGCAAATATACATATAAATGTATATATTTTCTTTTTCTACAACACTTCAGAGTCCTAAGTATGTGAAAACAACATATTTTTAAACAACATATCATTCTGAACGGAATTAAATGCTATACTTTTCACAGGACAGTTTTCTCAGAATGGTTTAATTTGAATGAAATATTTTCACAAGTTTTCGTTAATTACACTAGGAAAAAAAATTAAGGTAATTCTATTTTATTCGGTTAAGGTACAAAAATTAAGATCAAAGTTTATTGTATTATTAATATTAAAATTATGCATTATTTCTTTTTCTATTTATAGAGCTTCTTCCTAAAATACTTTCTTAAAATATTACATGATTTTTTGGCTTCTTTTAAATCGAAAAAATGTAAGTCAATTTATAATTAATGCTCTATTCGGTTCATTTTAAATTAGAGAATTAAAGTATTTCGCTAATTCCTAATAATTAAATAGGTATTAAATAGTATTTGACTTTCTCTGACCATTTCTGAAAGGGAATAAAATAAGTTTTTTATTTTATTTATTTTATTTTTTTTTTTTTTTAAGTATTATTTAAAACTTGTAACTGAGTTATAAAATGTAAAGGGAATAATTCTTTTAATTATACTTATCAGATTTTTTTTTACCCTTCATTTCAACAATACATATTCCAAAACTCTTTATTACGTTCTTAAGTGCGCATCTCATAGCACTTGCTTTACAATACCTTTTAACAGATTGCTTTCCAATACGAACAATTCTTGCTTAAATAGTTTTATAACGTATTTGTCAACAGGATTTCAGTTATGTTTACAATTCAATATTAAGGTTATTATATATTTAGATAACATTTATAATCATTATAAATTAGATACATTTAATCATTAGATTTCTTCACAGTACTTTCACAGTTGTTTATAAGTGAATAAATTCTTCATTTCAAATACATTTATAAATAATTTAATGAATGTTTAAGTATTTTGTCAAAGGCAGATATATGCTTTTTGCAAGCAAATGCATAAATACCCATACATATTTCCTATTTATCATTTCCGGCATGTGCAAATCTTTAATTTCTGTGCATTCACTATATTTTTCGTGTAAAGTAATTTACACTAATTTAGCATACACCCGAAAGTTTTACATAAAAAATATATATGAATATAATTTGAATGAAAATTATAAGTATTATTTTTAATACCCAGTCAAAGGTCAGTTTTTCTTCAAAATTCCTCCACGATGGCATCTCTCTCTTTAGGCAGATAGCCCTTGCATGCGTTACTCTATTTAATAGAAACTTAATCTGACCTATGTGCCTAATTACAAATATTTTAACATACATAATTTTATATTTACATTTAGCCATCAAGTTTCAAACTTTTCAAATCTTCTAGAAAATAAATTTTGGCAGATCTCTTTTAGCAATTTTCTTAAAATCTACATTTTTGTAGTGCAACAGCTTAGAATTTCATAAAACAAATTCATAATCAAAATCGCTGTTGTTAGTTATCGAAAAATAACCAAGATGTGATTTTTGCGTAAATTTCAGTAAACTATACAAATTGCTATTATCCATCACACTATGAATGTTTCTTTCATGCGAGAGTGTCCCTTTTTCGATTTCTATGGAACTGTCGTGTGTCGAAATACTATCAGAATCTTGTCAAGCGAGCTTCTGAATGTAAACAAAAAACACTCCGTCTGGTGACCCAAGCTTCAAAGCAGTGCTTCACTTCTAGCGCGGAATGGCCCCTCCTCCCTTTCCTACCTCCATGCGTTAACCGCAGGGAAAGGGGGAAAATTCGCTTCCGTGATCAGCGAATCAGATGGCGAGGTACGCGGTGTATCTGATAGTCAGAGTGAAGACGTGAAGTGTTCGCAGGAAGTTGTAGCATGTAGCAGTTGGCCTGCAATTGTTTTAGTTTATCCTCGAGTTTTATCTTGCGACGTTGTGTAATTATGATTTTTTATATTTTTATCGGGATTTACTACTCTTTGTTATCAGGTATGTACTATCATTAGAGAAAGATCTCTGTTAATTTAAGAATTGCTCGAAAAAAAAAAAAGGAAATTTTATATATTATTTGTTTTAGTTTAAATAATTTAACTCCTATCTTCATAATGAATAAATGGGTAATATGTACACCAGGTAAATCTTCAGCTAACAAATGAACAAATACTGATGAGGAGTTCGCAAAATACTGAACTAAATGCCCCGATCTAAAAAATAAGAAAATATAATGAGGAATTTATTAAGTATGGTTTTACATTTTTGTGTTGTTGATGATGAAGAACGAACGCCGAATATGCGTCATTTGCAACGAAAAATTAGCAAATGAGAGCATGAAACCAGCTAAATTAAAAAGGCACCTGGAAACTGAACATAAAGAACTTCAAAATAAAGATGCCGATTTTTTTCAAAGACGAGCTGAAAATCTGAAAATTCAAAGTGCACATTTAAAGAAATTTACAACAATACCTCAGAAAGCATTACGAGCTTCTTTAGAAGTTTTTTTATCTAATAGGATTAAAAAAAAATCTACGAATGGCACAATGTGGGCAACGAACGAATATACGAACTACGCACACCTCGCTTTAATAAATTAACATAAGGTTGCCGTAAGTAGGGTCGCCAAATTTGGCGGTTTATGCGAATTTTGGCCTGGTTGCGTTAATACGTAAGTACCATTTTCTCTCTACAAAAGGGGTCGCAGTCGAAAAACGTTTGTGCACCACTGCTCTAGAACAAAAATTGCTTTCACGTTTATGGTTGGAGGGAAAATTTCGAAATTTTCGAATGACCACACCTATTTTTTTTTCGTGCGCAACTTGATCAGCGCTATAAACTGCGTTGGAACGACACGCGTATGACGAAAAGTTCCAGCTCAAAACATTTGCAAAGAAAAGCATTGTAAAGGACCAATGACAACCCGAGAGGCTAGGGGCAAAAAAAAAACCTTTAACGCAACAAGTTTTCAACGTGTATAGCGTTTCAAGATATGGAACGTTACTCCTTGAGCTCACATTCAAAATTTATTCCATCCAATGCCACAATGAAAATAAGCTCTTATTGCAACACATAATGGCTTTACCAAATACAGTGAATTTGCAAGCTAATACAAAAATAATCTTTTCTTTGTATCATTACGGGTTGCAGATACACTACTTTTGAGTTTTTTGAATCTTTCAAGTTATTGCAATGTTTATTAATATGAGTATATTTTCTGGAAGAAACATTTTAAGATTATATTAGAATAAAAGGTCTGAAAATGGATTTCACTATAATAAATGAGACGTTCTTTAATATTTTTAAACATAATAAAAAATAGAGAAAATATATTATAGAGAAATACAAACTTTTATTGATTTAAAACACGAATGTATATTATGGCAGAAATATTTACTTCTGAGAAACATGTGCGTTGTTATACATTTGATGCATATATTTTTTTCCATTCCCGTTAATGTTTTCTTTCTTTGTTTCAGACAATACGTAATGGGAGAGTGTCCAACTCCAGGCATCCATCTTGGAAATTCAGAAACAAACTCTACTTTTTGGGGGAATATATCGTTACTCACTGAATCTGCCGCTGCCCTTCAAAGCTCTACTAACGAAAGTGTGGAAAAGTTAAAATTCATCGCTTATGGAATCGTAAGTTCCATCATCATAGCCCTTGGAATTCTAGGAAATTCTATCAATTTAGCCGTTCTCACCAGGCCTAATCTCAAAGGAGTTACCTTCGTCTACCTTACATGGCTCGCCATTTCTGATCTCATGTCTCTAGTGGTGAGTTTGAGTTCTATGTTCAGACTTCATGGCATGCAGCCCAGGACGTATACGGCTGCTGTATACTATTCACATATTGAAATGCCTCTTGTGAATGCCTTCATGGCAAGCAGCGTGTTCTTGGTTGTAGCTTTAACAATCGATAGATATTTTTCAGTATGCTTGCCAACAAGATTTAAAGAAGTACATAATACTGAACGTGCCAAGCGCTCGATAGCAGCGGCTTATATATCTGCATTCATTTTGTACATACCCGTTTGTTTTCAAAAGAAGCCTGTGGCAGTGGCAGTGCCATTCACCAACAAAACTGAATATATATCGTGCGAATACATGCCAGTGGCATCGCATACGGTTTTTAAAGTGTATCTCATGGTTAAAGAAGTGATTGTCCGACTTGGCCCTGTGGTGCTGTTAGCAGTTTTGAATACAACCATCATAGTAACTTTTAGGAAAACGCTCAGCAAAAGGAGAGAAATGCTGAATATGCCCAATGCCAATTCTTCCAGTCAGCAGCAGAGGGATGGTAACAAAAAATACAGAGAAGAACAAAGACTTATTATATTGTTAGCTGGTATTGTGATACTCTTTTTCATTAGCATGACACCAGCTGCCATTTTAACTATACTGAATAGTGACGACAAAGAATTTAACTTTGGCTTTCAGTTATTCAGAGCCATTGCTAATGTTTTAGAGCTATCAAACTACGCGATGAACTTTTACGTCTATTGCATGTGCAGTTCTGAAATTCGAAGGACTTTCTTGGCGCTAGCAACTTGCACAAAACCTACTCTTCACGCAAGCTCTGCGAGCAGTAAACCGTCAGTGGAGAGTAACTATAAATACTAAATAAGGAAATCCTAGCCATTTGAGCAAGCATACGCTGTGCCATATGGTTTTTAGGTTTAGTAAGATGTAACATACATTTGTTACACCTACAGTGTAATATCAAATTGACTAGAGATACTTGGGTTTTAACTTTATTGAAATGAGAGCATAATAAGGGCTCGATAATTGAATCAAGATTTAAAGTTATGAATAATTGAGCAATGAAGGTAATGTGCTAGAAAAAAGATTCACAGATTTTTTCTTTTCGTCTATGAAAATAAAACTATCAATTTACTTTGGAAGGAAAAGGTTTTTTTGCTCATGGAAATCATGAATATCTTTAAACGAACGGATGACGCTTCAAGACTTTATAAAATAATATAATAGTATTTAAAGTTTAATACTTTGTTTTGCTTGTTTCGCATGTTGCCATTTCGTATATCTAAACAAGTCATGACGCTTAACTTTTTTTTTTTTTTTTTTTTTTTTCCTTAAAATGAAGGATACAATTTTAGCATGACATTTATTGCTGCTATTTATAAATCCAGAGTTATTTTTTTAATTTGGAAGTTTCTTTAAAAGATATTCTGGTAGTAGAATTAATCACGTTTAGATTTAACAATTACAAATTCTTAGTGTCAAATTTTTAAGAACGATAGCTTACAAAAGGACTTACCTGTGAAGAGAAGAAAATACATTTCAGTATATTTCTTAGGATAGCGTACAGTTATGTGATGCTCTAACAGATGTGAATATAATAAATGCTACTTCCGCTTACTTTTTATGGGCATTTGAAAGGCGGCTAACTGTGTCCCGAAGTAAAATGCGTGGAGTGTGTAAAACATTGTGGCGGAAATACACGATTTATATGAAGTATAATCCGTTTATAATTATGAAAGTGCATACTTTAGATAAAGGCACTGGTCAATTAGATGAAAATATTTAACATCTATGTAGCGGATTTCTTAATGAACATTTGGAATAGATCTTTGTGATTATATAAGAGTTTACTTGATATATTTTGTTATATATATACATATTTAAATAACAAAATTTTCTTCGAGCTTCAGAAATGCATCAGCACGCAAAATGTTCAGAAAATCTAGCATTTTGATGAGTTCATTTTGTTCTTTTGTATACACAAAATTGTTCAATCTGTGATTATGACATTTTTAAGCTTTCTTCTGCCATCAATATTTAATAACTTACATCTTAGATGTGTTTTGTGATATTATCGACCCTCTATTTATGAAATTAATTTTATTGCTTGTATTGAATTTGATTATTTCTTAGTAATTCTTAAACTGAGTATTTCACCAGTGAATTAGATGGAACAAATTCGAATTTAGGATTTTTTATGTTTTTATGTCGAAACAAGAGTTCTGCCAGAGAGCATTTTAAATTCTGTGATGGTTGTAAAGATCTTAAATTTTTACAAAATATTTGTATGTGTTTATGGAATAAAATTTTTTAATTATTCGTTAGTCATTTTTATTAACAGACAATGATTTTTGGAATTAATAAATGTATACGATTATCTTAAAAAGATCAGAAATACTTTCAGTTACTGTTCTTGTTCACGTGGTACTCGACCAAAATACCTAATAAATATTTTTTTTTTCCTATCTGCAGGTAACTATTAATGTAAAATGATTGATACTTCAGAGATAAATTAATCTCTTATCAAAAGCTCTTGATTCTCTTATTTATATTGGGGTTAATATGCTTCTCTAATATTGAAAGTAAGAAAGATTTCATTCCTTCTAAATACGTGAAAGACAACAAAAGATGAAACAACGTGAGATCGGGCTACAGGGTGTATCAGTACAGGCACAGGTAAAAGTATGGAGGTTACGAAAAGTAATGTACTATAGGTCAATTGGTAATGCCTTCCCATATTAACTCTTAAAAAAAAAAGAAAAAAGGGGATGAATTGCAGTTTTTATAAGAATTTACACAAACTGAAGCTTTCCAAATGGTCTAGAGTTTGCCTATTATGGTACATCGTGCAATCCCACCGTACGACCGCATTCAGTATTTATTAAAAATAATGATGCAGGACATAAGTAGATTACAAAACAGTCCGAATACAATTTGAAATTCATAAATTAAATCGAACATCTATTTTGGTACAACAAAAATAGGAGATAAACATAATTAGTAAACAGATAAACACAATGAGATAATTATAATTGGCAACACAATGCTGTAATGAATTCTAATATTAATGCTTAAGAGGTGGGTGTCCATGGGTTATTTCAGATATGAAGGTTTATTGCAGTTAATAAAGTTCACGAGTGGAGTCATTTTGTCCATAATCACAGCAAAAGTTAGCTAAATTATGCAGTTTGTGGATTTACACTTGACAGAGATCTAGGTCGTAGGAAAAGGGTCGTTGAATAATTTTTTGAAAATTTATATACTGATGTTTATCTCTAATTAGAAACCTTTGGAATGCCAGGAGATCAGTTCGGGAGGGGATTTTATGTGAATATCCTCAGTTAAGGTGCATGAGAAGGTGTAATGATCAGGAATTCCCTATTCCCCACATAGGATGTATATGTCCATATGGCATATATCAGAGGTCTCCTTATTTTTTGCGTAGAAAATGTGGGGAAAGGTCTGTGTCATGTTATATAGTAATTTAATGAAGGATTCGAGTATAGAAATGTGAAGCTTACATTGGGGATCAAGTTATATGTGCGTCTTCCCTGTGGAGCATTGTTTCACAAATCTTGCTAAGATTTTGAAGCAAGTTGTTTTAGTTGGTACTTAAATTTGAGCCAGGCCGCAGAATGATGATTTCAGTACTATCTTGATTAATAGCTGCTTCTTTGGCTAATTCATCTGTCTGATAATTTCCAAAATGGTCACTATGTCCTTTGATCCATGAAATTTGAATTTTAGAGTTTGGAGTTTTGCAAGGAAGAGAATTTATGTCGGATATCAATGGAGAGGAAGGTAAAGGATGACAAACTTTCTAGAGAGATAAATTACACCTAGACTATGGGAAATCACATAGGAATGACAAGGTGAGAAAACATGTTTATTATTTAGAGTGCAACATAAATAAAGAAATAAACAACATAAAGAGACAATGATCATCGTCAAAAAATGTGTTCGAAATTGCGACTCGGACCGTGATGCAGGAACCGCACATCATGCATCTTCCATTAATGATGCAGATTTTGACTGCTAGATTGCTGATTTTTAAATTTAAAAAGACATTTTCATGTTACCATCATTGACGTCATGATAATCATCCAAGCTTTCTCATCATTTTCATCCGCATTCTTTTCCCTCCTTTCCATTATTAAATAAATCTTATCAGTCGTCGACTACATTTTCTAGTTAGAACTTAAAATTATTCATTAATTGATGCTATGGTTTAAAAAACACTTGATTTAGCTCTTGATAATTTACACATAATTATATTTTTAATAAACTCCCAATTTTCCCGGCTTCTAACTCATGAGCTGTGCGATTCACCAGCTTTTCAATTGTTCAATTGGAGAAATTTAATGGAGCAATATCATTAACAGTTCCATCGTTTGCGGTTGGATCTGTGTTTGCCGCAATAGCTTCAGCAAAACACGGCACACACCTTTCGATCTCCATGGTTGCATCCTCGCTTAAAAAGAAGGGAAGATTGAGGAGTGAGCTTTGAAAAACATGCCCGAAGTTTGCAAATATAGTATGACACTCTGGCACTCGCGACTCTGGAAGAATAAAATGCATTTTAGGCTCGGTTCCTGCAATCCAAAAAGGTAACCTGTCGTGTCTTAGCGAGTAAGAGACTTCGGTCCTCTGGAATGGGGGTGTGACGATTGGTTTATCATCGACTCTTCACTCAGCGTGAAGAATCCTGCTCAGAGTGGAGACACTCAAACGGTTGAATCTTGTAACGGGGTCCTTTTGTGAGATGCGGAACAACTAAATACCTTTTGTTATGCCCGAAGAAGAGTTTCAAAATGCCAATCTATCTGCGCCAGTATGCCAGTATAGAAAAACTGTAGATTTCCTAGGGTTCTGTAAATTATAATTTTATCAGTTAATTAAAATTTACAGAGCTATAATTTCATTCGTGTGTTAGATAGACTACGATAGCTAAATGCTTGTTGCTGCGCCATGTGTATTTTGAGTTAATTGGTATCGTTTGTTAACGAGCTTTGATTTACTTTTTGTTGGATTTTATGATTCCCTAGACACTGTCAATGCCTAGGTTTGAGTCATGGCCTTAACGAATTTCCATCAGTATTTCCGGAAAGGGCATCATCGAATGAGATCTTTAGAGGGATACTGAATTTTCGTCGTCCGGTACTGATTTTTCATCCGTCCCTGTGATTACCTGCAATTATTTCTAGAGCTTTTAAGCTATTTGTATTATTGTATTCTCAAGGAGATAGTTAGAAAAACTATAGCTGACCTAATTGCCCATAGTTGACCTAGGAAACATTAAGGCGCGTAAGTTAATTTCCATGGAGGATGAAACAAGACACTTCTGAAGTGCTGTATAATAAAAAATGAGCTGAATCAAATCTCCAAAAATATATTCAACTGACGACCAGACATTTTGCACACGCAAGGCTGCAGAAACTCTCCCAAAGACGCTGAGCGATTTCAAAATCCCAAATAGTGACTCTCATAGAAAATCAAAATTAAGCATTTCCTGGAAGGGTGGGATGTATATGTCCCACAAAAAAATCACTATTTTAAATAAAAATGAAAAATTAGTTTTCTGTGGAGTTTTACAATATGATACTTAATGCGGGGCAGGAAATGGCAAACACTGATGATCTGTTGCCGCCGAGTCAGTACAGTGATTATGGAAGTATACTGCGGTACCGAAGGACTCTGGTTCGAATCTCTGAGAAGGCATGGATGTTTGTAAATGTTTAGTGCATTTGAGGCATGGAGACACTCTAAATATATGGAGAGCCGAAAATCATCTCGAGTGGTTTGGTGGTAGAGAAGAGGTGTGGGAAACTCACACACCCCCAGGGTGCTCTCCCTCAAAATTTTGGATGGAAATTAGAATTCCATCTTTTTTGACGCTCTGGCAACCATTCTTCCATGAAATATATGGACAAAACCACAACAACTGATGATTTGTTTTCCTGCTTCTTTCTAACTGAATAGTTGATTAAATGGCTTTAGTACATAAAAAATTAGTCTCTACAGTCTCCATCTGAAACGGTTACCAGGAGAAACTTCTTTAAAATGCTAAGAGACTTAAAATTGTCACGTTGTGATGTCAAGATGATTTATGCAAAGCATTTCAGGATAAAAGTCAAAGATTTTTTCCCCAATGGCGGATTGTGAACAGTTACACTGTAACCCAGTCCATTAATCTATACAAGGCCAGATGTTGTGGTCTCTTTATTATGGAGCCACTTAATAGGTGGGCCACCATCGCTTCCTATCAAGGGACGGACAGTTACAACCATGCCTTCTCCGGGATTCGAACCCACGCCCTTCGGTATCGCAGTCAGGCTTCCCTAACCCCTATGCCTTCTGGGCGTCGACAAAATCCCTTTTACTCCCAGAAGATCGCAAAGTGAAAGAAACTATATACAGCTTGCCATCAAATAATGAAACTACAGATATCCAGAATAAATTCAATAAACCCGATTTCTGTGTTATAAATGACTTACAACTCACTAAATGGAGAAATGGGGGAGCAAGAAACTATCTTCATATTTAGTCACATGCGACAAATCTAAAAAATGTAAACAGATTTTTAAGTTAATACACCTACAATATTACAATATTTGCATACATTAAACTCAAATCTCAGCGGAGTCTCAGTGGCACTCTGCAGTGCGATTGCTGCCAGTCTTTTCCCAATGCTCAGACTGGTTGCAAACACGACTCATGCTGTGATGTGTGTACTACCGACACTTACGTTTCAAGAGATTGGTCAAGCAAGGGTAAAGCATTAAAGCCCATCTGTGTAAATTATACTTTGGAACAGCCAATTATCGATGTTGTGTCACATTTTCGAATCAGACGAGTATTATTAATACCAATACAGCGCTTTGTGGTAAAGGTTCGGATTATATGATTAGAACAAAGCCTCGAGAGCTATCTACCTAAGGGGGATGTCTTCGTGGAAGACGTTCTAAGGGAAACTGGCTCATACACACGCAACACATGGGGAAAACACCGAAAACGCCCATGCAGCTAGTCCCGTTCGTGGGTTTCGAACCTCAGACGGAACTACTAGTGTTCAGCAACTTTACCGCTCGGCCGCTGGTGAGCCTTGTTCTTCGGTAAAACTTTTGCAAACGCCGTAGTGCACCCTAAAGCAACACTGTGATGAAACCAACAACATATTAAAAAATTGTCCACATAACTTGAAAATATCTGATATACAAGAAAGAATTAACGCGGGTTATTAAAGGCCAACTAAGTGTTAAGTTGCCAGAAATAACTATCTCGCAAGAATGCAATAATAGTTA